ACTGTTTTAAGCATTTTACATGCCTAAATAATAGTTTGTTATTTATAAAAAGACATTGCCGGTTACAATTTTGCAAACTTTTTGCAGTTTTGGGTTGACGTTGTAAGGCATTATCTGTTCCCTTGAAAATTATGGTAAATAGACTATCGAGTAACGTTTTCTCACAGAATTTTGAATTAAATGGATTATTTACGTTGCCTGTGGGAATGCCTGTATGTGAAATCGACATATATCTGTAATTTAATGTCCATTAAGTATAAATATATAAAACTATTCAAATCGTGCTTAAAAATACTTTGCATTGTTAGTATAATTCGTATTTCTATAAACAAATACAAACTTTGAAAGGAATTCTTTTCGTAACTGGATAAATACCACCGATCATGAAACACAACGACACTTTCCCAAATCTCTTCATGAAATTTAAGATCTACAAATAAAAGTAAACAATAAAGAATTTACTAATTATTCAAATTATATGCGAATTTTAAAAATGGTTTATTAATAGACGAAAATACAGACTTTTAACTTTTCTTCCGGATGTAAATTGCTGACAGCAAATTGTCGGACATCTTGAAAGCCATTTTGCATCTGAAAAGTAAAAAAGTATTGAAAATAATAATAAAAGATTTTTATTACCGTCATCTCGTGTTATGACAGATATTTTTAGAAACAAATTTTTTACCGAGAAAGCAAAACTACACAACAAACAAGCTCCAAAAATACAAGTGAAGGTGAAGAAGACAACTATTATTAAAAATCCTAATCTAATTGCATCATTTACATCTATAAATAAGTATGAATAATAAGAAAAACTAGTTGAACATATAAGACCGAGATAAATAACCACACTAGGATAACTAAATTTAGTATTAAGTTGACTGACGAAATTCCACAGTTCTTCGTGACGAAGCATCAAATTTCTCAGATTGAAATAGAAATTTCTCTCGCTTCTTCTCACAAGAGAAAAATCTTGTATCAATTGGTTGAATTCTATTTCGGTAAGAACTAATAAAACCCCTACTAACAGTATAGCGTAACCCATAGCGCCAAATCCGAAACAAGCAGAAAATCCACTTTCCACTGAACAAATCAGAGCTTCTCCCCGAAACTTTTCATTTTTTTCTAACGCTGGGTAGATAAAAAATACATTGAAAATCTGAAAGCAAAACACGGCGAAAATAATACCAAAAGAAAAGAGCAGACAAATGATATTAATGAAGATATTCGCTCGGTTTATCTTCTCCACAATATCCTCGTTTCTTAATGTTTTTATTAGAGTGACTTTTCTGTTTTTGAAGAAACTGAATGTAAAAGCAAAACAGCATTGTAAGCACGCGAGTGTTATTTTCAACAGAAGAGTATTGTTTTTAATTAAATCGAACCATCCAATGCAAACTGCATTTTTATTCCAACCCGGAATAATCTGCCACCACAAGAGAACCGCATTACTCCAGTATATAAACTCCAAAAATCGAATGTATTTCTTCATATATTTTCTTTTAACTAAAAGTGAAAACTGGTTATTTCGGCAGTTGCACGGTTCGAAAGGATCCACACCATAGATCATCGCATTTACCCAGAATGGTCTTAAGAAACAATGCATACAGACTTCGTTAATTGAGAACGAATTCATCATCGATTCGCTTTACCAATTTTAAGTACAACGAGAACAAGTAAAATCTATGTCTATCCTTAACACGAGAAATTCTGTTCTGCTCTGATTATTATGAAGTCTTCATTAGCGTCATTAAATTAAGTGCTATTAAATTACTGTTTGCACTTAGGAAATTCCTCACTTTAATAAGTAAGGAATTTCTTAAGTGCAAGAACAATTTAATTACGTCCATTACTTTATCGAAAGTTTAAAATAGCATCATAAGTAATGATGATCTTTAAAGATGATCGATAGACTCGATAGAAATATATATAATTCGTCTTATAATTCATATTAACTATATTTATCAGAGCTGAATTATTATTTTATTATAAATATATTACACGTGATACAAATTTAAATATATGTAGTACATTTATAAAATATTTTTAACGTTATGAATACGCTTTACTAATGGAAAAAAGAATGATAACTATGCAAAGTATGGAAGATAAAATTCTAAAATATTTTGTGCCGGGCATTATCGATATTTATAATTTCGAAGTCATTATAAAATGAATATTTTTATCGATTACTTATCATTAATTTGTATAAGAATTCGTTAATGGTTATAAATGTTTAGTTATTAATTTTTTTGAAGGAAATTCAGGACATTCTTTGTGTATATTAGAAGTACCTAGATAATTTTAAATGTTATATTAAGTATCACTTAAAAACTGAATGCACCTTTATTGACTTTTTACACGCTCTTGAATCTTTCATATACTGTACTTCAAAGTCTCTATTAAATTATAGTTAAAATGGTTTATTTTTAGAAACAAAATTATTCAATTATTGGGCATCAGCCAGCTGAGAATCTACCGTTAATGGAAGTGAGTTGCTGAAGAATGTTAGTAGAATGTTTAAATTCACCTGATTGGATGTAGGTAAACATTTGTGAGACAAGCAGGGGGTCAGGGGTTAACCTTGTCTCGCCTTTTGATTCGTTCACGGTTACAAGAAATCACCACATAGAGTCTCTCAAGTCTCCGTAGATATAACAAACACAGAAATAAATAACACAAAATAAATTGTAGCTATGCGTCGATTCCGCGCGACACGTCCGAACATGTAAGCTAAACAATAGTGTGGGGGGGTTTGAGTAATCAAGAGTTGCGTGGCGTTTAAACAAAAGACGAATCGACGAGATTTGAAAATCGCGTAACTCCGGGTTCGCGTAAGTCGGGGTAGTGTAAGTCGAGGTATTACTGTATATGAACTTTAGATAAAAATACAGGCATATTCCACAGAACGTCTTCCCGGTAAAATGTCTTCTGGTTTAGGAGCCAGCTTCCCATAAAAGTCCTTCCAGTTAGCATTCTATCTCCCTTCGTGTATCTTCCGGCCGTCTTCTATACATTCGATAAGTTAAAGGTGAAAACTAATTATTTTGGCTATTGCATGGTTAAAAAGGATCCACACCATTGATCAGACATGGGCAAATGCGGCTCTTTTTCAGTTACATGCGGCTCTTGCTGAAAGTGTTAATTTCTGCTTTTTATTATTATTTTTACAATTTTATTTCCGCAATTTTGTGAAAATATGTTTATTAACAAATTAGTTTAACATTATATTTATATTATATAATAAAATCGCGGTACAGAACTGCGGTAAAGAATGAAAAAGTACAGAGCTGCGGCTCCCATGTACTTTGCAAAAATTATATTTCGGCTCCCACTGAACTCTTTCTTGCCCACCCCTGCCATAGATCATCGCATTTACTCATCATGGTCTTAAGAAGCAATGCATACTCATTTCGTTAATAGCGAACGAGTTCATGATTTATTTTTAATTTTCTGAATACGATTGGAATAACTAAAATGTGTCTATTTTTTAGACGGCGAATTCTGTTATAACTTCAATTCCTTAGCATTACTTCGTTACTTATGTAATATCCCGTATGCAGTCTGTGAGCGTAAATTACATAGAACAGCCAGATCCATTAGTGTGATGAATTTCTTGAGTGTACACAGCAATTTAATACCACTCTTATTCATCGAAAGTGCAATTTTACAATGCTCTTTAACGCAAATCAATAAAGTCTAAAAGGACTTTTATTATCATATTATAGACTACTTAAGCACCATACAAATTAATCTTGATAATACTTTTATAAAAGGCTTTTAACATTAAAAGTGTACTTTAGTAACGGTTGATAAATATTCCTATAACTTTACGCTGCTCATTTAAAAGTTCAACGTTTTAATATAACGAATACAGTAGAGCGTCGATTATCCGAAATTCAATCATCCGAAAGAATTCCAGTCGGCAAATTTAAATTTTCGCCAGTGCTGTGGCGCTGCAATCTTTGGCTATGTCTTGGGCTACTCAAATATTTTACGTTTTTGATACTAAATTAACTTCTGAAGTATAATTTTTTATTGTTTTTATATTTTTCAATATATTTATTTTGTTTGTATAAAATAAAAAAATAATTTTTAAAGATACAATAGTCTTCGTTAGGCTTAACATTAACGAAAATTTAACGCGAAGCGACACGCAACGGAGAAAAATCTCAAGATGAGATAAATTAATATATTTTTTCGTACATAATCGGTTATCCGAAACATCGATCTTCCGTACAACCTCAGTCCTCAATTGATTCGGATAATCCACGCTCTACTGTATCTATATTCAATTCTTATATTTCATTTTTATAATAACTTATATTAAGTTGCAATTGAAAAACATTGTAGAAAATATATTCCCACTGTCATTTTTTCGCCTGTATTTTCTTAATAACGAGAACGGAGTTAAATATTGATACATGAAAGTCCAGACCGAATATGAAAATCTTATTCCCCTTTCACACTGTAATTTTTAATTTGCCTTTAACTTTTTATTTAATCCGATTTAACTACCAACAGCGAGCTCGACTTAAATCGCTTTTCCAAACAAGCTTAAGTCGATTTGATGTCTGCCAAAGGATAAAAACGTGGCGGAAGCAGATGTTCAAATGTTCTATCAAAATTAGAAAAAAAACGCTCCGAAAATTGGTCGGAAGAGGAAATAAATAACCATTTTAGTTGATATATGGAGGGAAAAATACATAACTTAGGTACGTCGAGCCAAACGGAACAGTTCGATATACGATGAAATGGCGGCAGAAATTGGTTTTCGAAGGCCAACTTTCGTAATCAGAACGTGGTCTGATATAAGTGTGAGGGACGAACAGACCCTCAATAAAATGTTATTTTAAATTTTAATTATTTTGAAATTCCATCGTCTAACTTCGATCGTTTTATTAAGTTAGGCTAAAATCCATAAAAAATTATATGGATTTGGTTTCTTGTTGAGGAGGATCCATTTAGTCATTAATGTGTCACCCGGAACGTTCGATAAAATTCTAGTATTGGACTCTAGGTCCTTAACAGCAACCTCCTGACCTCATGGAAAAAACTCAGAAGGAACCCAAGAATTCAAGAGTGGTCCTCAGAAGTCGTCCTCCCAAGTTGCCTCCTCAAGAATTAATATCGTGAAAATGGCTGTGCCTCTTTAAGGATATATTACACACGTGCCTCTACACCGTAGTGCTCTTGTTATTGGACAATCTAAAGACCCAGAACAATTTCATCGAACCTCGAAGGTTTATCCAGTCATCTTATAACAGATCTTCGACTCAGTTACAATGTATTTATCAACACGCGATTCGTTTGTAAACTCTCTCTCTCTCTCCAACGGTCTAGAGATAATTAAGGGGAACGTTAGTCATGATTGATATCGAGTATATCTGTATTTTCCTTTGTTATAATTAAAAATGTTATTGTTAGTTAATATGGAATCTGAGTGAGTCGCTTCCTGGTCTCTCTCCTCACCTCTACTCCTAATCCAACCGCTCGCGTGACGTAAGTCGCGATTTCCGAGTCTTGCGAGACTCGGTGGTGTCACATCCCACGGTCACATAAGGAAAATTTAAAATTTACCTCGAAATACAGGTAAGTTAAAACTGTGATCGTTAAATTCATTAACGTTTAATATTTAAATGAAGAATTTATATTTCGAACGTTGACACTAAATGACAAATACAAGTCGACCTCCCTATAACACTTGATTATTCCGTTTTATATGAATTCCATGTTGTACGAGTCACTTATATTTTACAAATACGTGTGCCGGGCT